CCCCAAAACCCCAAAACCCCAAAACCCCAAAACCCCAAAACCCCAAAACCCCTTGTTCTAACAAATTATTGAAGTTTGTTATTAATTAAAATAAAAATTAAAAGTAATAAATATGAGCAAAACTACAGCTAGCATTCCTAAATCTCGTTCAAAGTACCTGATCCAGTTCCTGAAGAGTAAAGTGGAAGGCAGCCATATTAATCCCTCCCTGAGCCCCGAAAAGCAAACACCAGTACATAATAACATTGAAGGAGTTACCCACAGGAGAGGTATAAATTCCGAAATTCCCAATGCGAAGATGGATGAAGACGAATATAATTACCAAGAAAGCGCAATTTATGAAGAAGAGAAGGACTCTATTTATCAGACTCCTAAGAACTATTCCACAAGGAGACGGATCAAAAAGATCTCCCTTGAGAGCACCAATTATACATCGAGTGCAACAATTGTTCAAAATTCACGGTTTCAGAGGAAGAGGGATTGAAAAAGACTTAATACAAGCCATGAGAGAATCAAACAAGTTAATATTAGTGACCAGAGCATCGAGGAAATTGATGAGGAAGAGGAACCATTATCCATTCCATACTCTAGGTAGGATATTCACCAAATTAAGCCTAATCCTTCTATAGTCCTAGCAAGCAAGGCCACAACAATTTCTTTGAAAGGATCAGTAAAGCTGCAGATACTGACCCTACAAATGCAGTTGACCCATACTCCCTTTGGTTTGAGCCAGAACTTGGCATCAACAAAATGATAGACGATATTATCAACAACGATCATACGAAATTTTCTGATGGAAATGAAAAATTCTGCCCCGAGGAGTCTAAAGATGAGTCTTTTGATGATATCCAAATGGAGCAGATAAACGAGCTTGAAATCACCCCTGAACTTAAGATAGACGACATGGTCAGCCACTGTGAAGGCCTCGAAAGAAATACTGTCTTCACACGAGACCAAAAGAAGAGCTTCAAATATCTTAATAAGTTTCAGAACTGTGAAGGATCTGCTGCCAAAGTGCCATGCACGAATAAATAAACCTGTGAAAAGAAGAAGTAGACATCGAATAAAGAAGCTTGATTTTTCAGGCATGAAGAGCACTGAGTATATCAAAAATGCCTTTAAGAGGAAAAATAGCTTTGGAGTCAAAGGAAAGATAATAAAAAGCTTCTATCAGCAAATTTCAGCAAAAGAATCGTGAAAGAATTATATTTAACAGTAAACAGAAAGTATTGGAGCTCTTTAAAGTGGAAGGTAAAGGTGGTATCATAGAAATCAAAGGAGAGCCAATATTTCCTCTTAAGATGACTTTGGATTATCTCATTCCTACCTATAATAACTGTAGTGTTACTATAAACTCAATGAAGGCTCATGAACCAAAGAATAAATTCACCACGCCCACCAAGAGAGCCTTCAAAGAAAGTAAGAATTTCAATAACTTCGCTTCGAGTTCTTCTGCTTGTCACGCAATCGAAGTAGAAGGCAGGATCACCGAAGGTCGACAGAAAGACAGGGGCTTCAAGCACCAGTTTGAGATCGACGACAACTTGATCACTCGTATGACTATCCTGGAGTAACTATACAGAGGGCGAACTGACCTAACTAACGTAGCAATTTATATTATCAACTTTCAGCCTATGAGATCTCAGACGGGGTTTTGGGGTTTTGGGGTTTTGGGGTTTTGGGG